TGTGTGTGAGTGTGTGTGTGAGTGAGTGAGTGTGTGTGTGTTTAGGGTTAGTGTGTGTGTGTGTGTTTGTGTGAGTGTGTGTGTGTGTGCGTGTGTGTGTGTGCGTGTGTGCGTGTGCATGTGTGTGTGTGTTTAGGGTGTGTTTGTCGACTCCCTCACAGTCCCGTGTTGAAGATTCCTCAGGTCCAGGAATAGCGTTCCTGAATGTGGGGGAGGGTCTGGAAGCGAAACATTCCGATCGGAATTACAGAGTGAAGTCCTCAAACGTGACCGATTCCCAGCGGAGGATCAATAAAAGCCAGTAAGACGAGCTGAAGAGCAGCAGAGGCACATTTGGAGACGCTGCTCCTAAAACCTTTACAATCCAACAGATGCAGATTGAAGGAAGTTTTCTGTTATATTGCTTGTGCGATATTTGATTTCCAATTGCATTATTTATAATCACCTTTATTTTATATATCAGTGTTGTCTTTTATGTCCAATACCCAATTACTTCAATCAATCAGAGGTGAAACAGAAGCTGCATCTGACATGGCTTTTATGTTTATTTCCATATTTAATGCTGCTCAAAAGTGACCAATGTATTTACACAACCAGTGCATAATGTAAATAGCCGACATAAAGTATGTAGACAGGTTAGGGCTGCAATATTATGACAAAAATCATTATTGTTGATTAATAGAATAAAAAATAAAAAATTTTGTCTTTGGGAAACAGCAAGTCATATTCTAGCTACACACAAAAAAAAAGCTAAGAACCATTTATTAATTTTATTTTACTGGTTTTTATGTATTCAAAAATTTTTATTTCCGGTGGTGACTAATCTAACTTCACTCTGATTGCATTGCATTCATAAGCTCAACAGAAACATTTGTGATTGGTTATAATAGGTAAAAAGAAATCTAGATGTAATGCTGCAATAAACACTTCATTCATTTTAATATTTCACTTTAATCGCATCAGCCGTAATAGATTGAGTTTAATTGTGCAGCGGTATTGTTTTGCATATTTTGCTTAAACCCCATTAAATTCCGACCCTGGACCTGAGCAACCAGAAAACTGTATAGAAGCAAGAGTGCAGGAGTTTTTTCATGCTGAAAATGTCAAGATTTAGTTTGCTGCTCAGAAGCCGCTAGCACGTAGACTAGTTGACAGTATGTTGATTGGATTGTGTTTTTCTGTCCGTCAAAGCGTGAGGAGACACAGAATTACACAGATGCACGTCACGTCGGCTCAGATGTGCAGAAACCTGCCTGTGATCTCAGCTTGACCTCTCGCAGACGTTTTCTTTCAGAATGCTGTCTGCAGGTCTGGCCTTGTGCCGACTTGAATGTGACCGCGATCGAATGAGCGACAGAGAAAAGCTTTGGAGTGCAGGAAGAGAAGATCATAAACTAGATTGTATCTAATCTAGATTTTTCTGAAGACAGTGTGGTTTGCATGTGTGAAACACACCGCCGGCACCTGCACAATGCTGCACAACTGCAACGGTGCTGATGATCTGATATTCTGCTCTCTATGTGAGCAATACAGATGCTGGTCTTAAAGGAACAGTTCACCAAAAATTTATATTATTTGAAAATGTGCTCACCCTCAGGCCATCCGTGATGTAGATGAGTTTGTTTCTGCATCAGATTTGGAGAAATGTAGCATTGCATCACGTGCTCTGCAGTGAATGGGTGCCGTCAGAATGAGAGTCCAAACAGCTGATAAAAACATCACAATAATCCACAAGTAATCCACACCACTCCAGTCCATCAGTTAACATCTGGAGAAGACAAAAGCTGAAACTAATCCAGCATTAAGACGTTTTTAACTAAAATACATTGAGTGCATAATCCATAATAACGCTTTCTTCCTCACACATTGTTTCAAAGCAGCTTTTAAATCAATATTTGTTACTTTTTTATGCCAAAGCATTAGATTAGAAGGATGTTTTCCTGTATGGTATATTCAGTGATTAGATTCATTAAATCAAGTCTAATTTATATTATATAAATAATTTATATTTATTTATATAATGCTTTTTTTGTATCAAAGCAGCTTTTGCTTTTTTGTGCCAAAGCATTCAAATAAATGCTTAATCTGAAATGTCAACTTTTCAATACCAACGCATTAAAACAACTGATATTTTCAGTGATTAGATTGATTAAAAAATTGATTTCAAAACAGCTTTTTTTAATCTAATTGTAACTTTTTTATGCTTGTTATCCTGTACAATATTTTCAATGATTACATTCACTAAATCCTTGAAATTCATATTAATTGAAAATATAAATTTTTGTGTAGTTCTTTTCACAATACCCATTGTTTCAAAGCAGGTTTTTTTAATGAAAATTAGTATCTTTTTTTGTGCCAAAGCATTAAAAGATTTTTTTATCTATTTTTTTTTTTTTTTTACTTTTTATGCCATGTTATCCCATAAGATATTTTCAATGATTAGATTGAAAGCAAACCTTAAAATTCACATTAATAGAAAATAGCAAGTCAACTTTATTTATATAGCCTAGCACTTTTCACAACACCGTTTCAAAGCATCTTTTTATAATGCAAACCGAACTTGTTTTATGCAAAAGCATTAAAATAGTTGTTATCCTGTGTGATATTTTCAGCGCTTTTCGCAACGCAAGTTGTTTTTAAAGCAGCTTTACAGAAAATCCACGATGTTAATGTTTATAATATCTTCAAGCCGTTATGTCATTATTATCTGGGATTCTCCGAGCCCTGACTTTCTGAGTTGTGCATCTGCTGAAGAATCAGATTTAGTTTGTTTTGAATATCGTACGTGAAGCACAACAGCCAAGATTTCCATTAGATGCTTCACTTCATTACTCTGAAGGCAGCGTGACAATGATTAAATACACACAAAGCCTCGATTGCATATCTAATGTGCGTCATTTGCTCTTCATTTGGTTGTACCGGCGCTGGCACTAAAAAAACTTCACGTGTTCGTCAGTCAGATTTCACGGTGCTCAATACTTCTTTTTAGAGCTAAATTCATTTGATTATGACTCACAAATTCATAAGTAGGACACTAACAGAACTTGAAGGCAGCGTGAGATTCTCAGTGAACTTCTATGAGAGATATCATCAAGTAAAGGGTCTCATTTAATGATTTTATCATTATTTCATGACTTCAGTTTTGTATTCAGTGAATTATTCACTGGGATTATTGAGGAAACATTTAGTTCTTATGAAAGCTTAAAATATACATATATATATATATATATATATATATAAAGTTAAT